CCAAACCAAACAAACCAGCAAAATAGTAATAACCAAAAAAGCACGACATCACGGGACGTGGTTTAATTTCATTTGACCATTGCATATCCAGCCATTTTTTTTTTTATGCAGCAAAAGAACAGCTCATGCAGCAGTATCAACCTGGGYTGATCAGGAGACTCCAAGATTTTTCCTTCTGCAATCTGTGACAATGAACTTCCCACATATTCAGCAGTTGGCTTATAATTCTGRTCCCTTCTGCAGCTACTGTTCCAGTCAAAACTTGGTCTTGGTTGATTAGGAACAATGGTACAGCTTTGTTTGCAAGCAAATTCSTCATCCTCAGAATCTGATCTCTTTCTACTGTGCAGCAGCATAAAGAATGAGCAGAGGGGAAAGAAAAAAAACTATGAAGTGTACTCGCTGAGTGAAATGCACAGTGGCAACAGTGCGACAGTGTAACAAAAATAAAATTTCAATTATTTTCTTTAAAAAAARAAGAAAATATAATAAAACATATCCTGCTGCTGTACTGCCAATGAAAATGAAAAAAWTCAGTCATAGAACTACACTTCATTTAGGCTTTGCACACAGGAGAGAAACAGGCATGCATGAAAACGCACCTGAACCCTTGAATCTCTTTATACCAGGGTTTGAAAGAGGATTTCTTGATTTTTTTCCATAGCAATTCTTCTTCTGGAGTCCAAAACTTAGGAAGAAATTGGTCAAAAGCAACAACTGCATTTGGTGCTGAAGAACTTAGCTTGCGAAAATAGAAATCATCTTTTTCAATGTTTGGGATGCCTACTTCTTCCTCGTCCTCATCAAAATACCCAGATAATTGTGAAGGATTTTTAACTCTTGGTTTGTTTTCCTCTTTAGTATCCAACTGCCTCTGCCTCCTCTGGTTACTGTTCAAAATATCCAATCAGTTAAGATATTTTRGGAGCAACTTGACATAAGGAATGCAAAAAGACATGCTTTTTGGCTCAGGAGMTCAGCCTTGTGAATGAAGCATATTAGTTCTCAATTTCATCACTGCAGCACCAGAAATAATAAGATATATTAAATAAAAAAATAACAAAAAAGTTAAATGGTTATATCAGCAGCCTATCTCCTCCGACAAAAATACAACGTTTGACAGAAAAAGCATATCAAATTATCAGCTGTGTTAAAATGCCAATTARAAGACTAACTTTATGGCGTTATTTAAAGGCTGTGATTTAAGTAACGCAATAGTTACTCGATCTTGGATTAGTATCTCTGACCTCAGTGGTTCAAGCATTGCAGCTAGTGGACCAGCTGGATAATTTTCTTGCGAGCAAGATTTAGGAGAGTCATTGCGCAACATGTAATGATGTCCAGGTGCAGCAGAGCTTACAGGGCTCTTTTTGACTAGAAATCTACGATTTGCTAAGTCATCCAAAACAAGGTCGGGCAGCCTTCTTTCATCTTCTGACTCAGARCCACTGTCATACTCATAGATGATCTGGAGAGAAGCTGGATTTGTGAGCCCACACTCTGCTCTGCTATTTTGGCAGGAAGCTACAGGATTCCTTTCACGTCCACTGAGGTTGACCAAAACAGGAATAGAATGAAGACAGTGAAGTCATGAAGGTAATGGTGAAACTCAAGAACTGCCCACTAATCTCATCTGTATGCACCAAGAAGACAACTGAAATTCATGACTGTATTTTCCAAGGCTTTAACAGGAAACTAAAACCGTAGTTCTATCTCTTGTGAACTTGCATTTAAGCTCATTAAAAYACATCTGGAATCTGGCCAGCCTCAAAACATTACTCAAAAACAAAAAACAATGTAAAAAGCCAAAACCAAAAACTAAACCACACAACCACACCAAAGCATCCCCCTCGATATAACATGGAAAATCAAACACTTGACTTTGTATTGCAGCGAGAGCAGCCTTTCTTCCAAGGTTGAAGTCATTCAACCTCTTCTTCCAATAAAGAAGTCATTTATTAAAAAAATTCCAAATCAAAGCCCACTTTAATAAGACCGCACACCAGTACCTTGAAAACGTTCCATCTGACTCAGTGAAGACGGGACTTGCCCAGCTCCTCCTGTTGTCCTCATTCTTCTCTGTCCTCTTCTTCCTTAAGGGTGCTGGCACATATCCTGTCTGCTTGTTTTTGCTGGGCAAGAAGCGATTGAAGTCAGTGGTAGGCTTTGGTTCAATCACAGAAATCCTACGGTAAGACCTGTCATCTTTATGGGAGTCATGCATTTTGGAAGGCAGTTCCGAGTCTGTGTCACTGTCACAACCTTGGAAGAAAGTGGAAAAAAGGGAAGACACAAACGTTATTCTCCAGACATGAGCTTCTAGCTAGAACTTAGATCAAAATMTTCTAAAATCAATTTAACTCTGTATTTGAGATGTTTCAGCTGCAAATTTGCTGAGCTACTGGCAGGACAGTAGGAGAAGTATTTTTAGAAGTCTGTGGCAAAGCTGTGATARGATCCATTAAACTCAATTTGGTTTGCATGATCCTGCTGCATTTGTTCCATTCTTTCATTATCACTGCACCCTGCAGGAAGCAAAGAGCTGGCTCCAGACTGAAGACATAAAACAGCACAGAATTTTTTTGATTTAAGTAGTATTTGCYAGGTAAATTTACAAACAAAGACAAATTAACAGCAAATGATATAACAATGTGCTCATCTCACCAGATTAACACCCAGTAGAATCCCAGGGTACATCACATATTTAATAACATGGCTAAATGTTGCCTTSCTCAGATCAGAAATGCTCCATGGAGCCTCTGCCCAACAATTTTACATTATTCACATGCAACAAAATCYAAAACCTAAAAATCCCTGTGACTTYAGACTACAAGTTGGCACYGAAATTTAAAACCAGCAGAGAAACACAGGCTACAGTGCTGCWTTAGGGATCCAAAGTCACTCTCTTTTTGTAACCTTTATTTTCATGACAAACTACTGAAAGTACCAAATACTATTCAGTATTTAACCTAGGTGGGAAAAACCTTATTGAATATTTACAAGTGAAGTGAAGACAGAGGTTTGGCACAGTTAGCCTAAGAATAAGGCAAGAGACTTTTGCAACTAGCGAATTTTAAGTGATCCCGTCCAAACCTGTTTTCTAGCAATTTCCGTTACAGAGCTCCGGGGATATAACCTGCACATACATCCCAATGTGCCAGCAAGAGCAAAGAGTTTCAGCAACCCTTCCTAGGAAGATTTGTGTGAGCAGTGCTATGTTTCTACCAACTGTTAGTGGCCAGTATTTGCTTAAGCAAACTGCAACTGCAGCAGTTGCAAAACTAGAGTTGACTTTCAAGCCGGTTTAAGCACTGGATATCCAGGTACTAGGTCCACACATTGTCTTCTCCCACACTCATAAGACACMGGTCAACAAAAGATTTTAAAGAGGAAAACATACCTTCACTGCCACCTTTCAAGGTTATATCTGATGAAAAGCTTGTGCAGGATCGTGAACCGAGAGAGTCCAAGCTATCAAAGGAATCGTCTCTTTTATGAGTAGCTGAAGATGAAAAGGGCTCTCCCCGGTCAACGTACCAAATATCACCGTACCCACTATCCCTGCCACTTCTGCTTGGCTGGCTGGACTCTTCAAGTGCCTACAACAGTAAGTTTTGAAAGCTCTTTTGCAATAATTTAATGTGCAAATGGTACTCAAGAGCATTTTGAGTTCACAAATTTCAACAAAGACTGCTGCAAACCCCTAAAAACAACACATACAACAGCTTGAGCAGGAGATTSAATAAAAGGTCTTAAATCTCTTTTATCTCAATCAAAGAGGATTGAGATAGGGCTCTCCACAATCTAACCTCATTAGTTACAGCAAGTGGATTCTGAAATTTATATGGTAGCAGAACAAATATATCCTTTTATATGGAACTTGATAGCAAGCAAAACAAACAAATTACTATGTTCTCCAAACTAAGAAGAAAATTAAACCCCCTAGAGACAGTTTACGATTAATGCTGTATAACAAACCATAAACTTCAGGCTATTAGTTTAGTTTCCTCTTTTTGSATTCCTTACCTTAGTCAATGCTTGCCCTAATAACTTCTCAAATGCTTTAAGATTGAGGTATGGACCATTATAATGAGGGTCACTTTGAGCTTTTCTCCCAAGCCAGTATAATGTAATTAAAACCTAAAAACAAACAGRAAAAAAAMMCCTGAATATAAACTTAATTACTTTCCTCTCATGCCATCTACCAGTATTAAAGAATCTCAGCTTGCTGTKAGAGATGTTTCCACAATKAACTTTAAAATCTTGCTTACACTAYTAGCCRTGATTGCCACCAAAACCAAATAAACCGTGTCATGACACATCTCATATCTCAAGTAAGCAGATACAAGTACTGTTTTCAATTATTACATCAAATTGGGAAAGTAAGCTACACATAGAATGTAAAATGTCRCTAATTTACATCAGATAAATCAACAATTGAAGAATAAAGCAAATATGATAGTACCATAAACAGAAGCATTTAAAAATAATTAATCACAATTAGTATGCAATTGTCTTACGTTTTTCACTCTTCTGTAGGTTTCCTCTGGTCTGAAGCAGGGTGGAGAGCAAGAAAAAGAAAAGAAAACAAAATGTTTTAAAATAGCTGACTTAAAACTCAATTATTACTCAAGATATAAAAAGTTTCAAGACCAATTAACAGTCAATATAAAATATGCAATTATGACTGCTCCAAAAGAATTAAGAAGTGTTTCGCTTTGAATACAGACATAACACTGGTACTATTTCAATTGCTTAGTGGGAAACTAGCCAATCTGTTACAGTTTCTGTTTTGAGAGGTATACAGAAAGGCTCTAGGCTTTTTTAATTAGCTCTCATTTACTTACCAACAAAAGAAAAGAAGAAAACAAGCTACTGACTTTGGGAAATATAGCCTCTCTTACCCAGGGAGATTACAGAGTCATAGAATAATTTGGGTTGRAAGGGACTTTTTTCCATCCAACCCCTTTTTTCACTTCCAACCCCTCTGCCATRGGCAGGGACACCTTCCACCAGACCAYGCTGCTCAAAACCCCATTTGACCTGGCCCTGGAACACTTCCAGGGATGGGGTACTCACCACYTCTCTGGACAATCCATGCYAGTSCCTCAMCACCCTCAGAGTAAAGAATTTCTTCCCAATATCCAATCTAAMMTGACCCTCTCAGTTTAGCCATTCCCCTTGGTCCTATCACTACATGTYCCTATAAAAAGTCYCTCTGAAGCTTTCCTGCAGGCCCCCTTGAGCTGCTGGAAGGGTGCTACAAGGTCTCTCTTGAACCTTCTCTTTTCCAGCCTGAACAACCTCGGATCTTCAATTCCATATGAAAGGAGATTCAGTTGCAATYTTTCCCCTGATTGTATTGTTTTCCAAAGTATTTGCCTCAGACAACAGAGAACGCTTTAGACAAGAGATGGCTTTTCAGAGCAAAAAATGAGAAACTGAAACTGGCATATCCAGAGTGACATGATGTAAGGCTGAAAGGATGGGTTTGAGTTCTTTCATATAAATATGTATTTTTAAAAAAWWWTAAATACATRCACAATCATTAACATTAGAGAACTTTTATATATATATACACCCAGTCAGGAGCACCCCTTGGAAATGCACCAACAGACACTCATTGTGTCCTGTTCCTTTCCTGCTCATTTAAAGAACATGAAGAAAAAAAAAACTTCTCAAATGGGAGGCTTGAAAGCCTCCGAGTCCCCAGACCTAGTCCTCAGGTGTAAACATCCACGGCTGGACTGCAGACAGTGGTTGAACAACATTGCTGCCTGCAGTGCCAGCAGTTATGGAAGAGCAAATGGCTTCAATAYCCCAAAATAACTTTTGACCTGCCCCAGATGTTGGTTTGGAGCAGACTTGGCTGCAAACTTCGCACACAGCACAGAGAAGGGGTTCAAACAGAAAAGCAGAGACTTCACATACAGCAGCAGGAAAACCTATTCAGAGCTCCATAATATGCCAGACCAACAATGTTTCAGGTACCTATCCCATTTCTGTCTGTCTAGGAGCACACTAGTCAAAGGCTACAGGAAAAAAAAAGGAGAATAAATCATTGAGGAAACACGAGTTAAGGTAATGAGGACAGGGCCTGGTCAGCCTAAGTGTCACTCTTCACGGAAATGGAACAGTCAATGAGACGTGACAACAGTCAGGGACACAGACCTTCCCTCCTGCTCTTTCTTCCTATTTTGAGAGCACCCACTCCCACTCAGTGGCTGTAATTGCCTTGCCCATCCCCACACCATAAAAGAATCAGGCTATCAGGAACACAAAGTCCTGAGATGGGTCTGACCTGCACAGTCCTTGCCTGCAGCTTTCTTTGTATACCATACCAGAGAYGCTTCTGGCTTTGTAGCCAGTGACTTCATTCCCACAGATAAGGAGGAATCCTTCTCTGTATTGTGAAATATTTACACTTTTTTTTTGTTTTTTAATCTCTTCCAAAACACATAGCTGCTTGTTATTCACTAGAGACTATTTCTGAAGAAAGAAAAAACTCCCATTTTCTTCAGTAGGCTGATTCTTTTGCCAGTGTCCATGTTCCAGGGTACACYATGGCTGTGACCTAAGGAGCTAGTAGAGACAGGTTGATTTCCAAGCAGAGAATGAAAAACTATTCTTKTATCAACGTTATACTTCTCATACTCACTGGAGAGCATTTTAAAGGTTTGCATTCTTTACCCTCAATACCCTTTGTTAGCAGAATTTCTGCTTTTGCTCCCAGCTATAAAAGCAGAGGTCCTTGCTAAGAATGCCTTAAAGTCTGCTCCTGAACTTCAGCAGTAAGAAGCCAGAAACTGCTCTTAGCTGGCAGGAGTATGTATCCAAAACATTGCCAGCCTTCCTTGGACCAAAGCTACACAACTGAACATGATGATGTCCATTCCTGCTTTCCTTGACTTCTCTGGGATAATTTCAGCCAACCATTTTGCAACAGCAGCAATATTCAATTGTCTTTATATTTCAATGTATTTTCTTTATTGGAATAACCAYGAATACACTAGGCCTGTGTACTCGGACTAAAACAAACACAATACTTTGGATGTTCAGGTAAACAAGTCAGTCTGAGACCAAAAATGCGGGCAGGGAGATATTTCACACACTCAAATGACAGATGCTGCTTCATTMCTGTTTTCTCTGCTAACAGCAGAAGCAAACAGACAAGCTGTTTACTCTTCATTYGTGAAGTTTCTTCACTTGCATTACTACTCTCCTTTACTGAACTGTATCTATTGGTTTCTAAACCTTTTTAACAACTTGTCACGACAGATGCAGTCTGAGCAGAAGGGGAGAAGAAAAAAACCAAAAGAAACCCTGCTATCTCATTTTTCCTCATTTTTATATGCATGTACTAACTATTTGATGGTGCTTAACCAAGGAAAAGGATGATTCTGAATGACGAATGCACTGTCCTAAAATCAGTGTTGAATGATAGGTATATAATTTTTTTTGTTAAATAAAAAAAAGTTGAGTAAAGAAACAATGTTGTTACCTTACTGAAAGGTCTTACAAGTAATTTTTGACTTAAAAATTTCATAGCTACATYTCCTCAGAGGCATGCAACTTGCAGAAGATGTAGTTTGAATCTGCTYGCCAACATTCTCTGAAATAAGAGCCTTTAGAGCCTTTAATAAGTACAACCTATCCAAGCTCATCTGTGTTTAGTTGCACATGCCATTGCGCAATTCCTTTCCAGGACACTCTGTTTAAAGTATCTGTTGGGCAAATATCTACTGGTAGAAGTGTGATACAAACTGAAGAGCTTTTAGGAGGAATGACATTTTCCTATGAGTATCAAACTAGAAGAAAAAACAAGACTTTAAACTCAATTGTAGTAAATGAAAATACAAAATGGAGTAATTCTACTATGCAGAATTTCTCCTTCATAATGTGTTCTTAAAAAGTAACTACTGTGCAATCTATGCAAATAATTCAACTCCATTTAACTCTGAAAAACTACAGTTCATACGAGRGGACAAGATGGAGGCACCAACCTCAAGCACAGCAAGTTCTTTTCTGCTAGAAAAGGAGGCATGACCCTGCAATTTTCTGACAACCTGTTACCTAACAGCAAGCTTCTGCTCTCTCCTTCACCCCTCTTGACAATCCTGGCTCTAAATACGCAGGACCCAAACTCTCAGTTTCTCACACTGTATTTGAATAAACCATTTAGAAGATGGAGTACAAGAACTTCAGCTTTTAAGCTTTTTAAATACTCCTGGAGACTTGTAACCTTATTTTGAACATAAGTCTATAACACTGAACTGCACACACCTAAGGGCTTGTAGAGACTTTTTTCACATGCTTATAAAGCTATTTTAAGAACTGAAGGKGTAGCTCACTTGCTGAAGAATCCTCATCAATGCAAATAAATGCCAATACTACATTTAGCTTCTGTGAAAGAAATCTGCTTTTTCATGTTTTCATCTAAAACTGTCACAGAGGCCCAGTTAATACTAATCATATTCTTTATGAAAATACTTGATGTAGCCCAGTTTCTGGTTTGAATAGGTGAACACCATTATGCTGACAGTTTTAAGTAGGCTACTGCTTTGTTCAGGAGGTACAGCCAAGGTTACATCTTAAAATTAATCTGCTGAAAGAATTCAGTTCCTCCCCACATGACAATGCAACACTACTTACTGAATCACTTTGTGTATTTTTAAACATTAACTTCTCTGTCTTCCCAGAGGTTTTTTATATCTCCTTTCATTAACAGCACAACTTTGCTAAAGATGTCTGAACTCAGCAAAGAAAGCTGCTAAGTAGAGCAGMTACCTCAAAACCAAATTCCAGCTAACAAAGAGGTCTCAAAACTGTAAAAGTAGAATCCTAAGTAACAAAGCGTGAACCTTAAKTGTTGGCAGTGGCATTAATAAAAGTTTACATACAACTTCAAGATTAGCCACCCTGGAAAAGATCTCCCACACACTGCATTAAAGTCTAAAGGCCACGAGATAACAACACGTGGGGGATATTGTAACAGCAATTGTGAAGCACAACCGCATAAATCCGAGTTGAACACTGATGAAAAAAGATGTGAAACAACCACCTGTAGGGAAATAATACCTTCTGTGTAAATCATATCATCTACGTCAATCCTTGAGCAAACAGAAAAAAGACAAATGGGACAGAAATAGCTCTCACTTGTTGGTGCGTGACACGCTTAGGGACGAAATACCTCTGTTACGTTTGAACCCAACACACACTGACAAACATCACTTACTCCCAGCACGGACCAACAGATGTTTCTCTAACGAAGACCACTCCACAAGAATAAAGCGAAGTGACACGGCCGACCAGCACGCTGAGCCACAGCTCAAGGAATTTATTCTCAGCTCCACTGTTTGCTCAAGGCTAAAGAGCAGAATTAGTCACAAGGCCCTAGCCTGACAATACAAAGGCTTTGGCAGCAACTCTAGCTTAAGGATTTCCTGGTCTCCCTCTTCCTTCCAGCCACTCCTGTTTGCTGTCCCCGTGGTTATGCCAACCCTGAATCACACCCCAGTTCCATGCTGCCACAGGGCTACACCTGTTTCTGT